TCCCTCTCTCTCTCTCTCTCTCTCTCACTGTCTCTCTCCCCCTCTATCTCTCTCACTGTCTCTCTCTCCCCCTGTCTCTCTCTCTCTCTATCTCTCACTGTCTCTCTCTCCCCCTCTCTCTCTCTCTTTTTCACTCTCTCTCCCTATTGCACCCTATTGCACTGCACAAAATTTACTGCACATCAATGTACTGCACCCCACCGTACTGCACCCCATCGTACTGACACCACCGTACTGCACCTCACCCTATTGCACCCCACCTTACTTCACCCCACCCTACTGCACACACCCTACTGCACCCCACTGTACTAATCCATCATACTGTGCACAACGTACTTTTACCCCACCTACTGTTCACCAATTAAAAGGTTCCATTTGACTGTTTGGTGTCGCCACATTTGTAAGTCATCTCTGTGATGGCCACTTTCAAAGGTTTCAGCTTGTCAGAGATTAGAGACCGAAGCATTACTAGGGACAGTGGGGGCTGTAGCTATACTCGATTAATAGGTTGATACTAAAGACATTTTGGGGTTTGGTGAAGTTAAGGTGGGAGATGGGGTGGTGGTGCTTTCTTCAAATCCTCTAGGGGGTGGTGCTTTCTTCAAATCCTCTAGCGGGGTGGTGGTACTTTCTTCAAATCCTCTAAGGGGGAGGGATGGTGCTCTCTTCAAATCCTCTAGGGGGTTGTGCTTTCTTCAAATCCTCTAGGGGGGCGGGGTGGTTCTTTCTTCAAATCCTCTAGTGGGATGGTGGTGGTGGTTTCTTCAAATCCTATAGGGGGTGGTGCTTTCTTCTATTCCTTTAGGGGGTGGTGGTGCTTTCTTCAAATCCTCTAGGGGGGTGGTGCTTTCTTCAAACCCTCTAGGGGGTAGTGGTGGTGCTTTTTTCATATCCTCTAGGGGGTGGGGGGGCTTTCTTCAAATCCTCTAGGGGGTTAGTGCTTTCTTCAAATCCTCTAGGGGGTGCTTTCTTCAAATCCTCTAGGGGGTGCTTTCTTCAAATCCTCTAGGGGTGCTATCTTCAAATCCTCTAGGGGGTGCTTTCTTCAAATCCTCTAGGGGGGT